GAGAGAGAGAGAGACCCGGTGACTGTTTCCGGAGACCAAAAACGGCCGACATTTGACCGACTATAATGCCGCTATAGTTATCCGTTGGGGCGTCAAACGAACTCCGAATGCGATGAAATTTGACAGGAGGTCTATCTACACTATAATAAGACCACACGCCAACTTTCAACCCATTCCGAGAACATTTTCTGGCCACTTATAAAATAATATTTCGAACATGCCGCGGACGCGTGCAAGTGTGTCTGGGCTCAGAATGGACAACGGACGGAACTGGGGGGAAAACCCGGACGGATGCAAGTTTTGAAAACATGCAGATGCAATATGGATGATGACATGGCAAGATGCAACACGCAAGCGAATGACATGGCAACGCCGGCGAATAACTGGAAGACACTTGGCACAACGGTCTCGGGGCGTTACACCATGGTCGGCCCCTCCTTCGCTGCCGACCATGGCCTGCCTATTGTTGTGTCGTGCTGCCGCATGCCTGGGCCCCGTGACCTCAAGCTCCTGTGCTAGCCTTGCCTTCCTGCACCACTTTGCCTCGGCCGTTCGACCCCAAGCCATCCTCGCATCGCGGTCTTCATCTGCCAAGGACGCCAAGACCTTTTCATGGATGCGTCAAGTACCCTGCTGCCCTACGGTATCGCCAAGAACGCGTTCTGCGATGACCGGTGTTTTTGAAGGCTGCCAAGTACCATTTTGTCAGACGCCCGAACGACTACCACACCGGAATGTCAAGTACATGGACACGCCGAGTTCCTCTCCGAATGTGGGTATGACTACCCTAGCACCGAAGACCTTGGATGCCCGAACGAGTCCGGACCGAAACGCTAAGTACCACTATCCATCTTCTAGGATTTCACCAAGTACCACACCAGACGCCAAGTACAATGATGATCAGTGAAGATCCTAGTTGCGTCAAGTTCCTCTTCGCCCAACGTACAACTACCGGTGCATTCCTCAAGTCCGACCACAATGTGAACGACTACCGTCGACCCTCGAAATCCCCGTGGACGTCAAGGTCCTCGTTGTGACCCCGAACATCTATGGAACGTGTACCACTACTTTCACCATGTCGTTGTGTTCATCTACCGTCACCGTGAACAAATACTTCCACTACCATCGTCGCGAGAACGCCTTCTTCCCTCTACGAAGTTGATCTGTTCCGACAATGCATGCTTCGAAGGTATAACCCTGAGACGATGACCCGTGGACGAATGCATGTGTGTTGTATGAGATGCATGTTTAGATGTTGTATTCACCTATGAACGTTAGTTGTTCCTCCTCGTTGCCATGCCGTCCACCCGTGGGAACCCAATAGCTGGGATCACCCCACCATCTTTTGACACGCTTTCGTCACTTTTCCTTTTGCACCGGTATCTCCATGAGCTACTGGAACCGATATGTTGTCGTGGCATCATTTACGGATTCGTCGCCGTGGCACCCTTTCTTTCCACCACGGTGCTAAATGCTTCATAATGCTCTTATCATCATTTTCATTAAAATTGCATATACTTCAACATGTCATCTGCAGCATGATAATAACATTTAAAAATCTTTAATTTGTTGTTGCTTTAAATTGCTAAATGCATATGGGGTTTTACCGGAATTGTTGTTTGATGTTTCCGGCCTCATTTAAAATGCCTAATTGCATATTTTACTCATGCTTCACCTCTTACCATGTTTAAAAACATTTAATATTGTTGGGTACATAACCGAGAGAGAACCAAATAATTGATGTGGTGTTCTGTCAATATGCATCCCGATGCATATTGAGCTCCACTTAACTTGTAGTGTTGTTTGTCCACTTTGCCATGCCATGCCTCATTAAACCGGACATGCATCATACTTGGTTGTGCATCATTCCATGTTATGCTTGGTTGTTTACTATGTTGCTTGCTTCTTTCCGGGTTGCTTCTCTCGTTAGCTTCGATTTTGTTCTGGAGTTGTGAGGATCCGTTCGACTCCGTCCATTTGTCTTCATCATGGACTCGTTCTTCTTCCTTGCGGGATTTCAGGCAAGATGACCATACCCTCGAAATCACTTCTATCTTTGCTTGCTAGTTGTTCGCTCTATTGCTATGCCGCGATACCTACCACTTGCTATTTCATGCCTCCCATATTGCCATGACAAGCCTCTAACCCACCTTTCCTAGGAAACCGTTGTTTGGCTATGTTACCACTTTGCTCAGCCCCTCTTATAGCATTGCTAGTTGCAGGTGAAGATGAAGTTTGTTCCATGTTGGAACATGGTTATTGTTGGGATATCATTATTATATCTTGTTTACTTTAATGCACCTATATACTTGGTAAAAGGTGGAAGGCTCGGCCTTATGCCTGGTGTTTTGTTCCACTCTTGCCGCCCTAGTTTCCGTCATACTAGTGTTATGTTCCTTGCTTTTGCGTTCCTTACGCGGTTGGGTGTTATGGGAACCCCTTGACAGTTCACTTTGAATAAAACTCCTCCAGCAAGGCCCAACCTTGGTTTTACCATTTGCCTACCTACCACCATATACCTTCCCTTGGGTTCTGCAGACTCA